GTATGTATACTGTATGTATACTATATATATACTTTAAATAAAATTCTCCTTTTTGAATTATATTGGTGCACTTTAAGTATTTATTTATTTATTTATTTATTAGTCAATTTATATATTTCCGCTTTTATTTTTAATTATGTAAGTTTTGGTCCTCCGTACTGCAGAAGCCTGATAATCAYMYATTCATTCAAATCAGGTGTGTTTGAGCAGAGAAAAAAGTAAAACATGCAGGGCTGCGGCCCTCGAGGACCAGAATTGCCCACCCCTGGTTTAGATCATCATGTTAGTGAGTGTGAATACTCACTAAATAAAACTCATTTTAAGCTCCGTCAGAAGAAAAACATTTTTGAATGTAAATTGTGAAATTTTAAGCCTGTTTCAGATATCAAAAAGACCAGATTTAGACTACAATCCTCAGATCTCAAAATGTTAATATAATTTAATACAAAGACCCATCATAAACACAGTCCTGCACACCGAGCATGTACTTCGCACTGCTTTTTTACTGGTTCCTGCTCCACTTTCCTGCTTCCTCTCATCTTTCTCATTCTCCTCCTCCTTCTCCTCACCCATCCCACTCCCTCCCTCCTCCTCTTCACTTCTATAACTGGCATCAACTCCATGACTGACTCTGGACTTTTCAGCTAAAACTTTTGCAAGAGCCCTGAACACATCCAGAAACACACAAACCAAGTCTGKATGATAGAAACATGTAAACAGTGCTTTGCTAACCTGCACTCATGCTGCTCGGTGTCAYCACTGGCCCGTCTGACTTCGGTCCCTCCACGGTGGAGGCTCCACCACAGAAAACTTCTGGCACATTTGGCTGGATCTTGCGCTGACCTTTTCGTTTTTCCCCTCTTAGCTTTTCTGCTCCACCCTTCTCTTTCTCCTTACTTTCGAACATGTTTGTTCATTTTACCCGCTCTCCTTTCACCGTCTTTTTCAAGTTTGTCCCGGGTTGCTTGCATTAAATGTTTAACTGTTTCACCGGCTGTGCCCGCGGGGGCGGTGCGGCTGTGGCCGTGTCTTTGCAGCTAAGGCTGACGCGGCTGCACCGCCCCCGCGGCTTTGGATCRGATAAACAACAAACTCATCAGCGCGTCTCCGTGAGCTTGCGCAATGGTACGTTTAAAGACGGCTCGAWAAAAYAAGTTACCCCATGTTAACACTAGATTAAATGGTTTTAACAGCTGAAATAAAGCGGGGTACAGAGGGTACAGACACGGAAAGTGCGGGGGACATGTCCCACCATGTTACGCCCATGGAAAGTGGGGGGGGCATAAGGAGGGGCATGGCC